GCGTTTGAGTGCGCATGTGCGTGTGTTCGCATCGGGGCATCAACGAGTGCACACCAGCTTCTTGACAATGCACGCTGTCCTGCCTCACCGGCCCCTTGACAACGGGTAGCACCTAACATCGTCCCAAACCCCCCACCGCACCTCCCTGCATTCAACCCTCGCCCCCACCCTGTCAGGACGCCTCTGGCCTGCTGGCCATCAGCCCCGCCAAGAGGGAGCTTTACGGGGTGTGCGCCGCGACCGGCTACCGGCCCAACGGCGGCGGCGCGTGCACCGCGGCAGAGGTGGAGTGCTACAAGTGCTTCTGCTACGAGGCGCTCTCGGGCGGCATGATCAAGTGAACGCGCGGCTGGAGATGGGCGCGCAGCCGCGCCTGGCCCCAGGACAAACATGCATTGCCCGGGCCATCCCCGGATGGGTGCGGCCGTTTCGAAACCTAGGGCCGCCGCGCTGCGCATGCTCAGCTTCCTGAAGACCGGCGTGCCGCACATATGGCGTTTTTTTCTGGCCAAACTAGATTTCGCTGCCCTACCATGGCGGCCTTCTCTCAAAGCCTGGATAGCCCAACCATCGTCTCCAAAACTCGTAGCCGCCAACCCTTGCACTTTCAAGCGGCATGCGGCGGCGCAACTGTGTGATGGCCCTGCAGTCCTGACCTTCCCCCGACCCCCTGCTCAATATTGCCACCCCAAACTTCCACAAACCCCTTAGTGAGGCGCCGTATTGCATCGGCCAGGCCGGCCTGCTGGTGCTGCAGTACTCGGCCCAGGCCCTCAACGTTCTGGGCATCCTGCTCATCAACATGGTGCGGCCTGCTGGGGGCGGGGATGAAATAGCCTGGGTGGGGTGAGAGATCAGCTGTCGGGGGTTGCAAATCGGTGCGGGCAGGTGGGGTGCTGATTGAGTGATATCCCGCCTGGTAGGTGGGGATTTCTGTTTTGGCCAGGGCTGCAGGGTCTTGCAAATGCGACGCACAGGCTGACGTCTGAGATTATCGCGACCCCCGCAAGGTGCTGGTGTGGTCCAGCCGCTGGCTGACCCTGTTTGAGAAGCACCACACGCGCAGCGACGAGGCGCGCTCTCTGGCTCAGAAGCTCTTCTTCTCCCAGGTGCGCCTCTACACCCCAGGTCTTGCCCTGACTTGTGGGGTGCCTGTTGGAAACAAACAGGCCAGGCATGCTATGAAGCGCAGAGACGCCTTGTCTGGGGAAAACAGCCGCTTCGCACGCATGCAGGCCGCTGCGCTCTGACCGCGTCTTGGAGCCAAGCGCTGCCAGCTTTCATCGGTCAGGGTCGCCAGCCGGCAGTGCGCGTATCCGACGCCCTCCATCAAGGCTGCAACCCACCATCATTCTCCGGCGTCGCGGCGCTCGCTCCGAGCGCTGGCTCTGGAAATATTTTGCGGCGGCCCCACCTCGTGCGGCGGCGCTTGACGGCTTGAAACTCAGACCCCAAGCCCTGGACCCCAAACCCCAACCCCGCAGTTCCTGAACTCGGCCCTGAGCACCATCATTGCCAATGCGCACCTGCCGGGCCTCTCAAAGCTCATCGCCGGCACACAGGTCCAGAAAATATTCTTCCAGGTTGGTGGCAGCGGGGCCTGTGACATCACGCACCGTCTTGTAATGTTCAATTGTGCTGAGATGTGATTGCATGCTTTCAGGGGTTGACCAGGGCACAGCTTGAACAAGATGACTGAGGGCTTGGTGTGGCTGCTTTGAGGATTTGCAAGCAGCGGGCTCGACATTGGCTGGGGTCGTCGCGTGTACCGACACCCATGGACCAACATCCCCTCCCGAGCGCAGGGCATCTACACAGACCTGACGCCAAACTGGTACAAGACAGTGGGCACCTCCATCGTGACGTCACAATTTGTCGCCACTGCAGTGCGCTTTGCCAACGTCCTGGCAGCCTGGCTGCTGATGAAGTGGCGCATGTGGCGCCGCTCTGCCTGCCTCACACAGGTGCGGAGAGTGATGATCCTGCTGCTGCTGCTCCTGCTGCTGCTGCTGCTGCTGCTGCTGCTGCTGCTGCTGCTGCTGCTGCTGCTGCTGCCGCCGCTGCTGCTGCTGCCGCCGCTGCTGCTGCTGCCGCTGCTGCTGCTGCCGCTGCTGCTGCTGCTGCTGCACCCCAAGTGCAGCGCTGTTGTTGCCGTGTATTTCTTGTGCCCCCACTTATTGACGGCCAGCAAGCCCTCCTGGCGTGATTATAACCTGCCTCTACTCTGCCCAAAAACCCCACACTTGCTCATGAATGCCCATTCGATTTGTCTCAAACACTCTAGAAACCCAGGCCAAGGATCCTTGCCGCCTTGCAAGGTACCGCCCTTGTCCCCCTTGCCTGCGCCCCCCTCCACAGGAGGAGCTGCAAGAAACTCTGAGGGGCCCGGCCTTTGAGCTTGATGCGCGCTATGGGCAGCACCTCAACGTCATCTATGTAGCGCTCCTCATATCGGGAGGCATCCCGGTGGGTGGGGGTGAGGCTTCGGCGGGGCGCAGCAGCGGCAGCCGGCCCTTGGCATGTACCGGTGGCCGGGTCTTTTGTCGGTCAGACGTGGTGCGAGGGCTGATTGGGCAGAGCGGGAGCGCTGGATGTCTGCACACAAGGCGAGGAGGAAGCAGCCACGTTGTTGAGCGCGCCCCCGTTCCTCCATGCACCCAAGGGGAGCCGTGGGGCCGCGTCGCGCTCCTATTCCTCCATTGAACAAAGGGGTGGCCGCGGCCGCGCTTTTCTCTCACGTCACACGCGCTCGCACGCACACAGATCGCGTACGCGTCCGCGGCGGTGTGGTTTGCCGCCGCCTACTGGTATGAGAAATGGGAGCTGCTCAAGCTCAGCCGGCGGCCCGTGGCCTACGGCGGGGCGCTGTCGTCGTCCATCAACCACATGGTGCCCTTTGCAACGGTGAGCGCGTGCCTCGGGGAACAGGGGGCAGCCGGGGCCGAGCGGCAACAAGAAAGGGCTGGGGGATGAAGCCGTGTAACATGGCGACGATCCATGTCCACTCGTCTGCACTGCAGAATCCAAATGCCTTGAGCCAACGCCGGTGCACGGCCCCATGGTCTTGAGGGCGCCGCCGCCCTCAAACTTCCTCTCGACTCCTGCCGCAGCCAGGAGGTCGCACAGCAGCCGGCTGGCTGTCAGCTGACGGCCAGCTGGACCCCAAGCACGCACTCGAAACGCGATGAGCCTGCACCCGCGTCCTGTTCGCACCCCCCCTCCCCACGCTGCGCTTCCCGGGCGACCCCAACCACCCCTAACCTGAGCTCAGGTGTTCCACTTTGCGTTTGCACTCTGGGCCTACTCGTTTTTCGGGACCTCCACCAGCCGCCTGCTGACGCCAGGATTCTCGCAGCTGATGCTGGCCATAACCGCAAAGCTGGAGCCCGTGTGGCGAGACGCGAGCGGCCTGCCACCCGGGCTGGTGAGCAGCTCTCAACGCTCAGCGCGACATCCTTGGTCATAATGGGCTTTGTGAAACCCAGACTGACAAGGGCCGGCACCGCGCGGTGTGGGACGTCTCTCTCTGCGTGTCTGCGTTCGTGTGTGCGTTCATGCGTGCGTGCGTGCGTGCGCGCGCTGTGCGCGTGTGCGTGCGTGCGTGCGTGCGTGCGTGTGTGTGTGTGTGCATGTGTCTGTGTGTCTGTGTGTCTGTGTGTGTGTGTGTGTGCGCGTGCGTGTGTGCGTGTGTGCAAAAATGACGGCTCCGCCCTGGCTACAGAACTGCGTCGCCAAATCCCAGATTGGCTCGCCCGAAAAAAGGGACCGACCGCACGTCACGCCACGCCCCCACCGCAGGCGGCGCACCGGCTTGTGTCGGCGTCCGGGCTGCACCTGCTCGCGGCCCTGGTGGTGGTGGCCGGCATCCTGGTCATCAAAATCATGATCACGGCCTGGGCCAAGGTGGGCGGGGATCCTGGGAGCGCATTGGTTTTTCACCCCATCGTTGTGTGCAGCTTGCGACAAGAGTTGACTCTCGCCCATGTAACGCCAGAGGGGTGAGGGCCGCGGGTGCAACATACGGCTCTTGTCTCGCTGTCAACAGGGGCGCCCGGGTCTGCAGAAGGCCTGCCGCCGGCCCGAGCAGCCGCGCCGCGGCGGCAAGCTGCCAGCGACCAGGCCGGCCGACGAACCCGCCCATCAACAATCTGCCCGGCTCGGCGCCAAACCACCTGCCGTGCGTTTTGCAGGGCGGGCGCTCCCTGCTGTCCCTGGTGGGCCTCATCGCCGACTCGGAAGACCAGCAGATCAGCGGCGCCCCCGAATTTGCGATCGCCCTCAGGACGCAGCTGCTGGTGAGGTTGTCTTGTTCGTGGGGCCCGTTGGGCAGAGCCTCGGGGAAGAAACCTGGTGCCAAGCGGCGTGGAGTGCAGCAGTGGCAGCGCGCATGTCCCCCACCCCCCAAATTGCCAACAATTAGCAAGCAGCGTTGCGGGAGCTTCTCTCGTGCGCGAGGCACTTTTTTGGGGAGGGTATGGGGCTCCCTCGTCGTACCTTCCTTGCTGTGGTACAGCAGAGCTTGTTTCGCTCCCGAAGCGCGTGTCTACTGTGGAAGCTTCGACCATCACGACTGATTTACTGATCATTTGATCCACGCTGCCACTCGCCTGAAGGTGGGGGGCAGCACGTACGCCATCCAGGCCCAGCCTGAGTACCAGGCGGCGTTTGCTCGCCCCGACGAGGACAGCCAGGAGGGCGACGGCGTGGAGGTGCAGGTGTGTGTGTGTGTTTGTGTGTGTGGGGGGCGCCGCGGCTTGGCGCGCAGGGCAGCACTTGAGTTGATGCCAGCTCAGCGCAGGTTTGCATGTGCATGCATTATCAACAGAACAGCTTGGCACCGACAATCACCATGAACGTTGCGTGCGCTGTGATTCGCTGCTATTCGTTGCACCCCCTCTGCAGGTGGCACTCCAAAGCACCAAGCGCAAGGGAGCTGCGGCGCCGGGCGCACACACCCCAGACGGTGCACGCGTCAGCCCCCGCGCCCCCGCGCGCCGCAGTTCGAGCAGCGGCGGGAGCGGCGGCGGCGGCAGCGAGCGCGAGCACGAGGGGGCCCCGGGTTCTTGGGAGCGGAGGAGGCACGGCGCGGAGGCGGCCCCGGATCCGAACATCCAGATCATCCGCCAGGGGTCGAGCCGCGTCGGGGAGCAGCGGCAGGCGCAGCGGCAGGACACGCCGCTGACGGGCGCGCAGCGGTTCAGGCGTGCGCGGGCGGGGCAGGTCATCCCCGTTGAGGAGGAGTCCGCGCCAGACGGCGAACTCCAGGGCTTCGGCGGCGTCGGCGGCATCAGCGGGCGCCACGGGGGCCGGCTGCGCAGGAGCGGCAGCGGCAGCGTCAGCCGACGCGGCGGGGGGGCGTAGCAGCAGCAGCAGCAGCAGCAGCAGCAGCGGTCGGCAAGCAGCACCTGGCTGAGCTGTTGTCTTGAAATGGCCTTCTTCAAGCTGAGAATGAACATACCATACCCATTCCTGCATGCGGGTGCTCCCCAGTCAACCAGCCCGCAGCAGCGCTCCAGTTTTGGCGCTGGCCGCACGCTGCCCCCTCTGTATGGCCCCGCTCCTGCTGCTGCCCTTGCTTGCCGGCCTGTCGCTTTTTTCACCCTCATTTTAACCGCTGGATAGCGCATGGTGAACCGGCCTTCTGTTGCCTTCACAATTGGTAACATGTAGTCAATTTTTGCCAGGACCATGTGCACCCGATCAAGCAGACCGATCGCTTCCCGTTTAGCTCAACTCCACCAATAGTCCCTGCACCAATGGCAGACACTCCTTACGTAGACGCTCAAGTGTTGATCGATAGGAGGGCGGCGCAACACAAGCGCCTCCACACATGCATCAGCAATAATTCTGGGGCAAATCATGGCGAAATTCATGGTCGGCAGTCCAGCAGGCGCGATCAATGAACCTGGGAACGGCTGGCGCGGCCGAAAGATCAGGAGCCAGCCGAGGGATGCGCTTCCCTGGCGACAGCAATCCC